GAGTACAAAATTAAATTTGACATATCTATATGCTCTTACTTAAACTTGCATTTAGAAATTGATTTTACAATACTGAGTTTGTGAAAATTACTTTAAGATTCTTGCAACCAAAGTTTAAAACTTGAATTTACTCAAACTTTGCCTTACACGCAATTTTTTTAAAAAAGTTTTAAGAGAATTGAAAATTTCATAAACACCTAATTCATTCACTCTTGGGTGTGTTGCCGTATCCAATAGAAGTGACATTTTAAGGTTGCTACTTGCTAGGGCTTGCTTGGGAAGTTCCTCTAAGGTGTTTTAAGCTAGTTTAACATTTGTGTAAGCTTCATAACCACTCCTTCTCTCCTCTATGCCAATTTTTTTTTTTATGTTTGGGTGTTAGGAGATGATGATTTCATCTATTAGGTTGCTAAACCCAAACCTATTGGGTTTTTTTGGGATTAATGGGAGTTAATCTAAGTTTTTATACCTAGGTTTAATGATTTTATGATGTTTTGGGATTAGGCTCTAAGGTTTTGACGAATTCCCTAGGTTAAATTAGGAATTTAAGAGCAATGTGAGGCATAATCTAGTGTTATTTGAGTTTATGAAAGTTGAAAAATGTTAATGGAACATTGTCAGAGCATTAGATTAATTAACGATAAAGGTTTAAGGCTATAGGTAGCTAGATTGGGCTAGATAATGATTATGATAGAACCCTTAATTAATTATTAGTATTTAATTGTGTAGATTATAGTTTTTTGGAGCCTTTTTAACCTTGTGGAGACTTTAAAATCCTTGGTGTTCCACAAGTGACCCTTTTTAGTAAAAAAGACAGAGGTAATTGGATAACCTACTCTATTTTTTAGCTTGTTGATTCATAAATGAGTTTTATGAAATTTACACCACACACACACGCGCGCGCGCATCTATTTATACATGTAGGTGTGTGAGTTGATTTTAGAAAATATATGAAGTGGAAAACTAGTTTTTGGAAACTTTAGTTTAATTCTATTATGCCTGCATATGATTAAAATCAAAGCCATGATCTTATTCTGGGATATATGCAGATATGAATATGATTGTTGAAATGTGAATATGGAATATAATTGTGATTCATAATTGTATGCATGTGAGGGTGGGAGGTTCACCCTAAGTATGGAGTAGTATAAAAATCATATGGCATTCACTAACATTGTGAGCCGCTATAGTGTTTAGTCTTATCTGTTTAGAAGTCCTAGCTTATTACATGTGGTGGTAGTTAAGCATACAACACTCTAAGTAATAAATAAGGGAATCTGTAGTCTGGAAGTGGAATGTAACCTTGGGTAGGTTGCCTTCCCTATTTGATGTGCTCAGGTTTGTCTAATCATATAGACTTGACATGTGAACATGGTAGCAGTTTACAAAACTATTAGGACATGTGAAATTTCAAAAAGTCTACCAACATTAGTAGTGGTTCAAGTAACAGTTTCACAACTACTATGGCATTTGAAAATTTAAATTTTTTATAGCATCATTTATATATGTGTGCATGCGTGCTTGGATATGAGCTTTAATGGTATTTTACAACATTGTTCCCGCTTTACATACTTGTTTATGTTTCAGCTAGCTAATAGATACCATAGTTTATTTAGTTACTATGACTTTGTCTTACTTCATGTTACATTTTACAGGTGACAGCACTAATAAGGGTAAAGAAGGAAGCGAGCAGGGCAAAGAGTAGATTGGAGGTTTACTTTTGTAATGCCTTATACTATTGATTTTAGAATGTGCAAATGTATGTGTATATGTGTGTGTGCCAATTAGGACACATGATTATTTTGTGCATTTGCGTGGATTACTTATATGATTATGTTGTAATTTTTCCCAGAATAATGGTGATTTAATGTTATATATGATGGTGTAGTTGGCCAAATTATTAGTACAAGTATATATTTTTGACATATTAAACTTGATGTGATCATTTGTTAAATGATTTATTTGGCCAAGGGATCAGTTTGGTAAAAGTCCCCTTTTGTATTTAATATTAAGGTTTGAGTAGTTGAATATTGCTTGATATGTGCTATTATGTTTGTAATAGCTCTATTAGGCGTATATCAACCTATTAGACTTAATTCAGGCCTTAGAAAAGGCTATTGGCATTTAATTTGGATTTTGTGCATTTGGATGCCAAAAGTGATGTGAAATGATCATTTCACATCCAGGTGTCCAAGTTTCAAATGGGTGATCCTTTTAAGGTGCTATCATTAGCTAGATCTATGAATAAGCTTCGTGTAGTATTTAAACCACTTTAATTGGACTTTGTATGGCAAGATGGTGCATGCTAGACATTAGACTTTTAAAATTGTCATAACTGCATCATGCACCATGGTGTATGACCTAAAGAGGGGTTTTCCTCTCTGTATTATTCAGCAGGGTGGATGATACTCGCATTATGATAGACAATCTAGAATTTTGGAAAAAATTGTTGTTTTGCCGTAATTCTAGTTTATTGCTTTTACACTAGTCCTTCTACTTTTGACTTGTATTTAACTCTAATTTTAATCGAATGCTAAGTTCAACCATTGCTTTAAAAGTTTTTCTTGGGATCCTAATTCTTTTAAAATGTTTTTCATCTATAGTTTCCATAATTGAGTTGGATTTGTGGACTTATTTTGGTAATGTCATGGTGGATATTGTAAATCTCGCACTTTCAAAACATTCTCTTACATTTACCGTGTTAGATTATTTTCAAAAGCTATGCAAAGTAGCTTCTTAAAATAATAAATATTTTTTATTCTGATTGTTTTCAAAAGTTTAAACAAATATAACTAAAATACACAAAATACTTTAAAAAAAAAAGAATATAAGTGATCTTTTATAAAATAAGTTGAAACAAATGGGTCTTTAAATTTATGAAAGTTTAACGAGAAGACAATATTATTCTAATTTCAATATTTAAGTGACTCCATTGCATCACTTTATTTCGAATTTAGTTATAACCATTGCTCTTATAAAAATACTTCAAGAACAAAAATATATTTTGATTCTAATAATTATTTAGACAGTGAAATACTCTAATTTTTCCTAAAAAAATAAATATAGTGATGATTCAGATACTTGGGAATGGTTGGCATGATGCTTTGTTATCCTTTGAGGGTAGTTCAAGATTCAAATATAGTTAATAACTTGTCAAAGTGTGAAATTGGTTAGAAGTGGCCCTAGGTGTCCAAAGTCTTCACATGATATCAAATTGAGTTAAAACCAAAGCCATTAATTACTTTATGAAAAGTGCTTTTGAGAGCATTTGAGTTACTTTAATCAAACATTAGAGCAGAAAGTTGTGCATGCTAGAAGTTTGCTCTAATTTGTTGTTATAACAACTTCTTGCTATCATGAACGTATCATACCCCATGACACATTTTGCCTTGGCCACAACATATGCCATAAAGAAGGCATGCCATGGTGCACAGCATGTTGGCTACAACAAATCATCTTCGTACCACATATTGTGGTTGATGTGCACTTAGTCACAGTAGATGTGCTTGTTTGGATGCTTTTACCCCTCTAATCCTATTTTGACTTGTTTCCAACTATGCTTCCCAAATATAAATTACTATAATTTTGAAGTATCTAAACACTCTTTTACATTGATTTGGATATTATTTGATTTTAGGATCCCATATTTACAATGGCTTTATGCTTATTATATTACTTGAAAAATTTTCAACCATATAGTAGACATCTAAGCATGATTTAATTTGTTTTCCTTTTCTTCTATGTTTGACTTATTTTAATTACGGTTAAACCTTTTCTAGTTTAGTAAAACTTTATTACGATTAGTTGCATTTTAATTACCATAATAATATAGTTAATTATGGTTAAATATAGATTAATAAGGAGAGTATTACACATTTTGCAGGGTAATTTAACTGGTATTTTTTATTCAATTTAACACTACTATTACACAAGTATAAAAACCAACTATCCCCTATCAAAAGGATTACAGATCTCGTTATGCACGATTGAATTGTTTCTTTCATATTTTCAAGCTGATTATTGTAATCTATAATCCTAGAATCATTAACAACCCATCTTTAGGGTGTTGGAATCTTTTATTATTTGAATGGACTTGATCCTTTTGTTCTTTGCAAGACTTTGACATCGACCTTGCAATTTAAAACGAAAAAAAAAAAAGGAAAGCATCACACCACAAAAAAACACTTGCACGCTACTATATTTATTTGTTATAAATTATTGGTGTACATTTAAAGCTAAATTCAACCTTTTAGTTTCGGTTTTTTATGTACTAACGTTTATATATAAGCTTTTGACTTATAGTAGGGAGAAAAAAAACCAAAATAATATTGAAAAAGACTTAGATTTGAATTTTTTTTCAAAAGTCCATCTCAGAAGTCACGAAATATCGAGGCTTTGTTAGGTTTTCACTTTCACATTTTAAAAAATCTTTTTAAAATGGAAGAATATTGAGATGTTGTTTGGATTTGAACAATTTTTCAAAAGTCCATCTTAGAAATCCATTTTAAAATATTCCAAATGTGCTTTTTGTTGAAGTAAAAATTAAGAGAATTTTTTAAATTGGCTTTAGAACAAAAATATTTAAAAATAAATTTCATTATAATAATTAAATTTTATCAAATTAACTTTTATTAAATTTTTTTTTTGATAAATAGACTATTTGCAAATAGAAAACCAAACCGTAGTTCAATATGGGACGTTTTCTTTTCTTTTTCTACAATCCCACAATAAATTAAAGGTGCTTTAGTAAATTCGGCCAACCTTATATAACTAAATAAAACTAATAACCCACCTTTTTCTAAATTAAGAGAATGGCCTTTTCCTAATTTTCCTTTGATATAAAAGACAAAATTACCCCAATGCCTTCGATAAAAAAAAAACCCCACTACCCTGATTCCTTTTTTCAAACTGAAGATCTGGACATTTGGCCTACACTTGCTTTCACTCGCCTTACCCCACACAAAAGACGACGATGCGCTCTCGGTCAGACGCAGAAGAACCTGACAGCAACCATCGGAAAAGCTTGCACACAGACAATAAATTGACTTATAGTTTTGGAAAAGAAGACCACATGAACGTGAGAAGAGGCAAACCGAAGCTCTACATATTCATCTACTAACAAAGCCAAACGCGAGGCAGGCAGACTCGCTGCTACAAATTCAAGGTCAAAAATTATGAATGCGAGGTGAGGAAGTCCAGAACTGCATCTTCTACACAAAGCCACGTTAGAGCTACAGATTGAGGGTAGGTTGTCGGTCATACTCTGTTACTGAAGGTAGAGTTCAAGTGAGGCTTTCAAGTCTTTTGTCAATGCCGCCAAAGAGGAAGAATCGTCCCACTTCACTAGGTTTTTTCTCTATGTCACTGATATATTTTATCAAATCAAACCGATCTAAGAAGCTAACTAGCCAGTTATTATGAGGTCTTTCTTGGGTCTCTATTGATAAATCTGCTTACCGGTCCTTGGTAAAAGAGAAAGATGTTAATAATAAAAAGGTGACCTATCCTCTCCCTCCCGATCCCTGGTAAAAAAGGAAAAAAAAAGATTATAGTCACTGATATGTGGAATATGATATGGTGATCAATCGCGTGCAAGTATATTCATTATGCTCAGGGTCATAGAAAGAAATAGAGTTCGGAAATTTTGAGGGGATAATGTATGGTTCTAAAGCAATTAGTGTCAAGGGAGCTCTGTATTAGATGTGGTATAAGATGGATGAAGAAAATTATGATAGTTATGATCTTGCATTGATAGTTTTGTTTGATATGGAAATGACAGTGTTTACAGTAATACCAGTACTTGTTTCAAGATTTAATAACAATTATGAACTCTCTCTGTTTGATAACAAAGATGAGGAAGAACAAAGAGGAAAAGTAACTTTTTTTGGCAAGAGAAAAAGTGACTTTTATTAATATAAAAGATTTAAGCACAATACTTGAACTTTACCAGGGATTTTACTTGGTTTTAAAGTATGTCATCAAAACATGCAGTCTCTACATAATGGCTTTAGATTTCTAGGATTTCTACAAAAATAGGAAGCTTTGAAGTGTGTCCCGAAACTTACAGATTCTTAGAGATATTGATTGAAAATGTGATGAAACTCATTATTAATATTAATTAAATTTATCATGCAACGTTGTCCTCCTTGTGAAGTTTAGCTGAATAAAAAATTAGACTGTTATGCTGATTAGTTGCAAAATTGTTGGGCTCATTTTATGTACTTTCACCTACCAATATGGATTAGATCGAACCAAATTCCCTTTCTTTCAGTAATCTCATTTCCTAATTATCTAATCTGTCTACAGGAGACACAGATGTATGGTGATAGAAAATATTGGCAAAACATGAGTTCAATAAACAATTCAATAATAAAAGCTATGCTTATCCTGTAACTTAATTCAAATTGAGCTACTGGCATTTTTCCTCTAAGTTAAACCAGCCTACTTGTTTAACACCACTTGTGAGTTAGGCTAGGAATTTCTAGATCGATTTAACTATTAGGCAAACCTATCTCAGTGCTTCAATCCATAATGTTTGGATTGGGATAGCATATTTGAATAGCTATAGGCTTAATATTATTAATATTATTGTGGGTGGCTTCTGTTGCTCCTTATTATTTCGTTGCATGGTTGGGATAGTTATTTTCCTATTTAATTGAATTATGTTAAACCATTTGTTAAATAAGCTTGCATAAGAGTTAGTAAGTTTCCTTTTTATTTTTCTCATTTTAAAGATAATTGTGTTAAGATTAAAAGAGTAGATAGAGCTTATCTTTCTTTAGTTATAATTTATAAAATACATCTTCCCTATGACATCCTTTTTCTTCTTTCAGTTTTGTTCTTTTTCATCTAATCAAATAATCCTCCTTACTATAATTCTGTTTAAGAAATATATATATATATATATGTATATATCAATGATATACCATTAGAACATCAATGATATATGTACCTATATCAAAGACATACCATTGTGAAGTGTATTTTTTTCATTGCTTTTATATTTGATTCATCAATGCTAGTACTTAAATATATTAACACTTTTCTAAAATATCAGGGGCAACAACTTCAAGGGCTGTTCATAGAAAAGATAAAGAGGCAATAGAGAATATAAGTCAAGACTAAAGAAGCACAAGAGAATATATAGTCTATAAGGAACTCTAGAATCCTCACCAGAGAATTTTACATAGTAGCAAGATTGAAGTTGTTGAAATAATAAACTAAAAACTAAATGAGGAGTAGCTTGAAACATTCAAAGAAGGATGTCTAGGACACCTATTAGACATAAAAATGTGTACTTTTCTAGGGCAATTAGTGCATTGGTTAGTTCGAAGCCAATGCCCTGGCGAAAGGGATGACAAGTTATACTTTTTGATTAAAGGAGTTTGCAATTGTTACTGGCCTAAATTGTAATCCTTTACCTACTATGGACTTTAGTGAAAAACCCATCCTAGCCTTTATAAATAAATTCTTTCAAGTCAAGAACACGTTGCCTAAAAGAAAGGATGTTTTCTCTATCTTTAGAGGCAACATCCTAAATAATGATGCTGATTTTGTCAAGTTAGCAAAACTTAATTGTTTGGAGAACATGCTCTTGTCAAGGCAAGATCATAATGCCATTGATCACAAGTTTTACAAGTTGCTTGAAGATAATAACTTGTTTGAAAAATATCTATGGGGAAGGGTGTGTTACAACATGACTGTGGAATCCTTCAATGATGTAATTAATAAATTTAATGTCAATTATTAGATTGGAGGATTCCCATATGCCATTGTTGCTTAAGCGTGTGAAATGATACCGGCATTGAAAAAGCATAAATATGCTGAAAAAATAGGAGACACACTCCCAAGGATATTGAACTAGACAACGAATGATTATTATGAGTAGTCACAACTTGAAAAGAATGTGATTAATGTAAAGAATGTAAGTATGTTCATAATTTTATATTTACCTTATATTTAAGTATGTTCAATGCAAAGAATGCAGAGAATGTGATCATGTTTACTTTTTGTAAATCATTTAATATTTAATAGTTTTTGTAACTATATGTCAATCATATACAGATGGGTGCAATTGATATGCATTATTGGAAAATAAAAAATGTAAGGTTCACTGTCTTGTATAACAGTGCTATATAACGGTATATCAGTGGTATATACTTATATATCATTGATATATGATTTTTATATCTAATATATATTGAAAAATTGCTAGCTATTACTTGCATCTGACATTAATTAGAAGCTGTAACTCATCATGTATCATTTTATTTTGGATCTTACATTTGGAAATACAAGAGTTGGTCATCACAAATCAAGAATGGCAAAAGGATTATATGCACATTTTTGCAAGAGAGAAGAGCATGACTCAAGCTGCAGTAGGAACATCTACTGTGTCACCTCTAAGTGTTGAAGATACTGACAATGATGACCTAGAAGCAAGCATGCGAGGCTCACTTTCTAGATCAAAAAGTGAGAGAATATACAAAAAGCTTGAGATAATTGAGAAGCGATAGCTAAAGATTGAAGAAAGACAAATTGAGATCACAAAAAGTCAAATAGAAATGCGATCAGTGATAGAAAAAATGTTTGACATCCTTGTCAAACAATAAGAAAATAGTGGGGATAAAGATAAGAGTGTTAATAATGTTGATGATATCTTCCACTCTATCAGTGCTTAGGTTGTCGAGAGTAGGGATAATCTTCGTGAAAAAGAGGAAAACAATCAAGTGAGTTAAGATTTACTTTGTTTCCTATAATTTGATGTTATAATTCCATCTATATTAAACTGTTACTTGTTTTAATTTTTTCATATTGCTTTTGACTTGATTAGGGACCAATGTCAGTGATGCCTTCAAATATTGGCAGGGTCAATAAATAAGAAGGTTGCCACCTGAATGAATCAACAAATACCAATCAACAATTGGAGGAAAAGAAGCAAGTACAAATTATACTTCATATGGGAAACTAAATCAAATTATCATTTGTTGATGATGTGATTCATATTCATTGTTAAAGATTATATAGAAAAAGTATATCTTATTAATGTATATCAGTGCTGTACTGTTGGATATCAATGATATATTTAGTCATATTTTGATTGTTATAGTTCATGGGACTGAATATGAATGACATACATTACAATAAAGGACAAGTGCTATATTGTTTCAGTATACTTTTATAGCATACATTTGCTATTGACTCTTTGTTTGTTTTTCTAGGCTGATAAAATGGTTGAACCTCCAAAGGACCAACAAAAAAAGGTACGAATCAAGAAAATTGCTAATAGGATAAAAGTTGAAAGGCCCAAGACGTCAAGAAAGACACCTGCTGTACTTCAGTCTCCTTTCACCGCAAATTACAGATCAACAGATGAGGGTAAAGCTCAAAAAAAGGGCAAAAAAGAGGATGATCAATATGACGGTCCTAGTTATGAGTTACTAACTCAACCAACTATAGAAAAGTTAAAGCACTAATAAAGTTGATGCACCTTTAGCCTTTTGTATTTTGGTTAATTTTAGTCTTTTGTTCCCTTTAGTAGATGATCAATATGAATTGCGCTCTTAATCACTGACATATTTCTGTTTATTATTGATATATATCTAGTTGAATTGACCAAAGAAAATAGACTTTTAATTTCAAGGTGATAAAATATGAATATTTTATGGTTACTTCTATATTGATCATTCTTTTGTTTCCTCCATTGGGTGTTTTAAGTTGCATATTGCATACGTGCTACCATGTTCGCATGTACTACCATGTGCCTTTAAAGGCTTTTATACACAATTCTAAAAATTGCTTTTATTCTTATAAACAGGAACTAAAGTACTTCCCTTTAATTCTTATAATTTTTTAAACTATCTCCAAAGACGGTTTACAAAAGATTAAAAGAAAAAATATTATGGCTATATGTGTACAACAAAAAAATCACTGTTCATTAGCAATGTACTATAACGCAAAACATATGAATAACCAAAAACAAATTCAAATTCATTAAGTTTCACTTATGGAAAGACTGAAATAAATCTGAAATGTCCAAAAAAAATTTAAATTTGACTAGGAGATCCAACTATGGTCTTTTGCTTCTTTGGGATGCTAAATCCAATAGGTATATAGTTCTTGTAAGTAGCTCTGTTATGTCCAAATTGCCCGCAATGACTACATCTAATAGTTCTCTTAAACTCACCAATTGATGGAATTCATGTCTTCTAAGGCCTACCGATACCTCTTCTTGTCTCTGGTGGCATCAGATTTTTTTCA